ACACACACACACACACCTAGTCCTGGCCCTGGGGCTGCCCAAATTCATACAAAGAGAGAAGAGCAGTTGGAACGCTAAAGGAACCACAATCCAGCAACAGAAAGCAGCAAAGAAGTAAAAAGGAAGGGGCAGCAAACACCAAAGAGCTGCTGCGGCCATCTGTTAGTTATGGATGGAAAAAGAGTATGGAAGCAATCACTGAAGATCTTGAAAGCTAAAGAGTCTGACTTTATCCTCTAAATTTCTCCTACAAAGGACCATAGTAAATGACAAATGTCTTCAATAAAGGTTCTTCTATAAAGGGCTATATAGGTCATTCGGTCACTGTCACAGCTACCGAACTCAGCCCTTGTAGCACACAAAAGTAGTTATAGTCAATACTTAATGAATGGGCATGAATGTGTTCCAATAAAACTCTGTTTACAAATCAAAAGCAGGCCAGATGTGGTCGTAGCCCACAAGTTATAATTTGCCAACCCCTGCTCTAGGTTGTCCTAAAGAGTCAAATATAACAATAGCAAACCTTTATTGAATGCTCTCTGTGCCAGATAGTGTCATAACCACTTTACGTATTTTCTCTCAATTTCTACGAAGGAAACACTATGCCAAGAGGCCCAGAGAGGTTAAGTAATTTGTCCGTGTTCCCAAAGCTAGTAAATTGCAGAGCTGCAGTCTGAACCTGGGCAGCCTAATTGCACAGCCCACTCTTAATCGCTATGCTAGGCTGTCTGTATAGCGGGCTGCTTGAGGGCACTGTTGAATGTGAACTTCTTGGTGACCTTGAGCTATGATATCAAGGATATAAAGCCCTGCCCTTGCTGGTATCATCCTTCATTGGAGCTACATTTGGGCTCAGACTGATTCCATTTTGTTTTCATGAATTATCCATATCTAAGAACTTAAAGTCTCTGTCCACTTGTGAATTTCCACTTATCCCGCAAGACATGGCCCCATTACGTCCTGTATGAAATAAGCCTCCCCTGACGAGCCCCTCTATACATAAATAATAAGGATTTTTAAGATCCATTTTTCTATAAAGCAAGATGATATCTAAGGAGCCAAAATAATCAATGCTAAGCTAATTATTAATTTATAGCCAGATCAGAAATTTTTAAATCCTAATAAGTGTTTTAATATATTTTTCAAAAAGAAAATTAACTGTTCAATTGTAAAGCTACAGAATTATGTTTTAGAAAAGAAAAAAAAATTCAGTGGAAGCTCTAGAGAAGGAAGTATTTGTTTTGTTTTTAAATACAGTAATGCTCACATACCAACTTGACAGTTTGATCCCATGAACCAGATACCACAAGCTGTTCACCTCTGGTTTGGCTCCAATCAACACTATATACCTAAAAATATTTTAAAGTGTTTAGAAAGCAAATGAGTATCAAGCAAAATATTATATTTTATCTCTTTATAATAGTGATAACCAGTTAGAAAAACTAATTTACTGTGTGAAAACATCAAATAAAGTCCTACTCATCTCAACAAGGTATCTGAGAAATGGAGAGGTGATCTTGTCCATTCCTCCAGACTTATTCCTTATGGATAAGACTCCATTCTGCTTTAATAGAATTCTACAGAATATTTCCAAACCTTCTTCACTAAAACAAATTATACATATTTTTAAAGCTATCAACAAATCACTGTTTGCAGCACCATGAAGAAATGTCAAAGCAGATTAGAAAGTTGTCACCTAAAAACAAAAAAAAACTTGCCGGTCAATGTTTATCAGAAAGCATTAAAATTCAATTAACATTCCTATCTGGCCTTTCTTAGAAAAAGCTTACAGGAACCAGGTGATCCTTTCAGATCTCTTGGTAAACAGCTTTAGTTATCCAATGCCACTAATCTAATTTATGCTTCACTGCTCTCAGTGAACCATTTCAAATGAACCATTTGAATACTTTATGGAAGTATTTTTCATTCTGTCATTTTATACAATAGATTATACACAGATCACTACTGTAAGCTAAGTGCAACAAAATATGGGCATAATCAGCTCTTGCGAGAGTAGTCCTGACATGGACCTTAGTGTATGCCATTAAATGTGATCAGGCAGCAGGTTATCCTCCACTTTACAACTCTAACTCCTGCTCTATGTAGGAAGCATGAGTGTCTGGGGTTTGCCATAGCTTAAGCACAGATTGTTCTCTGCTGAGCCATACTGGAGCCTGAGG